CTCGCTCTTCTCTCGCTTCTCAGCGGTAAAACGGCGCTGCCAAATCCACGCTGCCACAACGTTTTCCCCCAGGGAAGCGCTGTGCCGGCTGCCCAAATGGGAAGCTGCTCCCTAACTTTTTCCCCGTGAGCAGGAAACGCACCGTTTTGGCTTGCAAGGGGTCCTGGCAGAGCAGTGGGCTTTGTGTTTGTTTTTCTTCCTTTCTGGGGTGTGTGCCCGCCCGTTGCTATGTGATGGAGAACTGCTGCCAAATAAAAGCAATAATGGATTGCAGGCGTGGAATAGTGTGCTGGTACTGACACGGTTAAATTTGTGCGGTACCCTTTTTCCAGGATCATGTAGAAATGTTCTTGTTTAACAAACCATGTACCCCAGCTGCTTCGCTGTAGAAAGTATTACGAAGTAAAGCCTCTTGCATCCAAGGTTAATGAAATAAGCAGATAATCTTTTTTTAAAGAGAGACTATCAAACTTCCTTAATGACTAGCCCCACTTCATTCCTGAAATATAGGCCTGGAAGCTACTGGGTTGTGTTCAACCACTAGTTTAGCTATTACTGCATGAACTTTTAATTATATTTTTTTAAGTCATGTGGCATTTCTAGTAGTTCATGGAAATTCTGTGTTCAATCCCACTGGGACAAAGAGCCTAAACTAGACCTATAACCATTTCAAATGACCTGATAAAGTTGCTGCGAGTTGAAGCATTAAAATCCATGTTGAAATATCTATAATTAAATGCTGTGTATAAAGTTATATATAGTTTTATATATAAAATATATTGAATATGTTTAAATCTGAAATGTGCCTTTTTATTTAACCAAAAAAGAAGTATGAAGTTAAATATGTGAGAAGGTATCTTCCAAGTGTACCAAACTCAGTTATATGGCTTATCACTGCCCAGCTTTGGCTATTTGAAAGAAGATATTAAAACAAGTTATTTCACATAATTTTTGAAATTCACAGGCTTAATAATGTATGTACCATTTGAAAGTCTTACAAAGTCTTATAGTAACATACTAAGAAAGAAGGTTATAACTATAATCAAAATATAAAACATTTGTAAAAATATGTTTTCCATAATATTTCTTTCCATATGTAATATAACAATATTTAATGGTTTGTTAGGCTATGATTAGCCACTTTTTCTGAAGAGGAGTTACCTTTTGCTGCAAACAACTTCACTTTTACTAGAACTGGTGACTCTGTAGAAGTCTTACTGAGGTATATTGACATGAATATTTTAGTAAGACATTGCTATATAGTGAATTACTCTGATTTTGTATATGTTGTACTTTGAGTATGCAGTGTGAGCTAACTGTAGAGTCTCTTATCTTCTGGAATCCTGTTTGTCATACGTTTATGGAACTACTGGTTTAACACCTAAAGTACTTTTTTTTTTCCACTTTCTCGCTCAAAAAACCCATTGCTTTCATAGTGGAATGTCAGGTAAGATGTGGGACTAATCCTGTCCAAATCAGCTTGGATAAGTGATTGTTTTTATTTATTTATTTATTTTAATAGCTCTTTATAATAACCAGCACATCAGGAATGTCCTTTGTAGGACAAAGGAGACGAAGGGTTCATGCATCTTAGTGACTCAATCTTAAAACTTTAGGATCCTGAGATAAACACTGAGACATAAGCAATGAAATTGTTAAGATTAAAGTGTGTCTGGATGTATGTGGATGATACGTAATCATTTAATAATCTATTTTCCAGGAAATTAATAGTTATGATTACAGATAATATTTTTTGAGTAATTAATATGAACAAAAATGACAAAAATTGTATCCTATTTCATAAGCAAGAGGGTTTTTTTCTAAGTCAGACTGTTTAATTTGATTTTTGTATCCCCACTTATTATATTTAACAAATAGAGGAAATTTTTTTTTCTTTTTTTCTTTTTTAGTAATATTGCTGGACTCTAAAGCACAACAGACAGAGCTGGAATGGATTTCCTCTCCTGCCAATGGGGTAAGTACTCTGCAAAAATTAAGTTCATAAAGATGTCTAGGTATTTCACGAAAGTAATTGAAACATTTTCTTTAAAGTAGTTCTTCCTCATATTTTTCTCAGTAATCGTAGCAAGTGCTTATGACTCTTTCTTTTCTAGAATGAAAAGAAGTGTACCTCAGGTTACAGTGTACAAATGGGAGCTAATTAAAAGGACGAATCTCTTTAGAAATTCATCTAAACTTTCTCAGTAGCGTTCTCTTTTGTAGTGTACCAGAAAGCTCTCTGTATTTATGACGTAGTATTTTAAATCACTTTTTCCTTCTTCCTTTAGAAACAACAGATTTACTTCTGTATGGAAACTTCCTAAAAATATGTTTTTCATTTTCTGTATAATGAGTGATCATAAATTTGTTTATGTTTTCTTTGTAATTGAATAGCACAGATTGAAGTGCTCTAAAATATAAACATTTATGTGGCAGATGTATTTGAAATGACGTTTCAGACTTGAAACATCCCCACGTTTTGAGGAGCTTGATATCTGGAACTAGGATCCAATTATGTGGTTCAGGCCACCTCCAGATTACTTACAAATTAAACTCGTGGTACTCCATGAAATGTACCATTGTGAAGTATAGCACTATTAAAAAGTGGAAAGTTTAGAAAAATCTGTATTTTTGTCTTCTTTATGCACTCAAAGCTGAGAAATGCTGCTTTCATCCCAAATTAAAAATGACAGAAAAACACATCTTCCTCAGCTCTTGAGGAAGAACATTTTCAGAGAAATACAGTGCGTGTATTGTCATACCTTAGCTCAGTCTGAAAAATCATAAATTATATGAATAGCTCTTATTCATGGAAACAGTCTTGCAGAATCCATTGCAGCTCCCTGCATGAACAAGGACTTGGGGGATCAGGCCCTTAATCTTCGGCGTATTAAGAAATCAGGAGCCAGAGGAGTGTGAAGTGTGAGTGGGGATATAAGAGTGTAACAAATCCTTTAAATAAGAAGAATGAAAATCTGAAAGTGTCTTTCTTTAAAAGCAAGATCATAAAATCAATACAAGCATAAATTGGAAACAAATCTGAAGATTTCAGAAAAAATGTAATGTGAGCTCAACGCTTATGATGGCTAATAACTTTGGCATTAGCGTTTTGCATTGATTGAAGCCTTTACTAGAGGTATTTGAAAGATTAACTTGGTGTCAATTGTATTAGGCTAACCTGTTGATAATGAAGGACACGTTAATGCGTGTTACACATTTCAACATACTTAGAGACGAAAGTAGAGTCAAATTCAACAAACAGTAAAAGCTGACTTTCAAAGGTAGGAGCCAATTTCAAACAGAAATTAAAAGTGAATTAAAACTAATGACTGGATTCCTATATGTGAGGATGTTCAGAAGTAGTTGTCCATAAGATAACCAAAAAATACCATTTTAATAATGTGATTTTGAAAAAAATCCACTTTTTTCTTATCTTAATTATTAAATTTTCCTGCTATACAGTAGAGATTTCATGAGAAGAAACATAGAAAATATTATTGAGAGAAACTATTGCATCATCACAATATGGAATATATCAGGCGGGTTGTTAAATGTCTCACTCTACTGCCAATATTACATCTAACACTGTTAAAGTAACTGAAAAGTTAACATAACACCTATTACAAACCAATAGAATGAGATATATTGAAAGTGAATTGCACATCTATCATATATAACAGCAGGATAAAGAAAAGTTGGATTTTCTTACTGTAAATCTCTCATTAAATTAGTCATTCTAAAAAGACTTAATGAGATGTGACCTCAGATAGAGTAGGCAAATACATATCTTGAAATGCTAATAAGCTTTTTTTTTTTTAATGTAAAGAAGCAGATATATGTTCAATGGGGTCCTTGGAGTAATAGCTTTGTGATTACTTAATTAGCTCTAAGTCATAATTCCGTAATTTTTTAGGAAAACCACCTTTGATGTCTTTAGGAAAATATGGAAGCTAGACTTCAGGGGTTAGGACTTGGAATAAGATAAAGTAGGGCTTCTTTTCATTTACTTGCATTATCTCAGTTTAACATTTTGTGTCATCCTTGACTGAAGCATCAGAATTTCTCTAATACAAATTAGCCTCATATAGCAGGCTCTTGACTCCATGAAAGCTCACTTTTTTTTATTAAGAGAAATGGTTTCGTTTTGTTAAATATATCTTGCTTTTTGTTTTTTTTTTTTGGGGGGGGGGAAGGGGGGTTAGTGTAAGTTTGGATGGGGAGAATGCAGTTCAATCCACATCAAAGCTCTAGGAGTCAGATTTTGTCAAGCGGTGTGTTAATGTGCTTTAACTTCAGTGGTACCAGGCTTCCTCTAACTGAAGTATCTCCTTGAAGAATCTGGCTTGGTATTATAGGGGAAGATTGCTTAGACAAGATGAAAATATCCTGCCCAATATGAAACTGAGATGTAAAAATTAGTAACATTTTACATTTTGTGCCTTTTTTATCTTTTTTTTTTCTCTCCCCTCTCGACTGTGGCAGTGCCAAAAGCCTTAGTCCAGGACCCTCTTTTTCCTTCCCTTATTAATGCTAGTTCTTATGTGGAAGGAAACTCTTGCTCATTTAGATCTAATAAAGGTATTTTGAAGACAGATTTTTTTCCCCTGCTTTGAGATGAATACAGTTCCATATATAACATATATATACAGTCCAGTTAACTTCACGAGCACTTCACCATATATTTCAACAATTGAATACCATATGTATATATAATACGATATATACCATGTGTATATTAACTGTAGGTCTTTAAAATGCACTTTGATATTTACAGCTTCTGTGCATTTCAGCATTTGCAGCCATGATATATTTTGTGGTGATAACTTCCAGCATCAGTTTATGCACATCTGCTTTTTCTTGGAGCAGTAGACTAACATTAAAATGATCTCATTTGCTGTCAAATAGGCTTGCAACGTACCGTACGCGGCACGGCTCATGATCTGGGAAACCAACGCCTTCTGCATTGGGTTACCAGCCTAGGGAATGTCTGTGGGTGCTCAATCCTGCAGCGGTGCTGAGTTTGCTAGTCCCCCAGAACACTTAAGCTCATGCTTAAGATCAATGGTAGTACTTATGAGCTTAATGGTAAGCATGTGCTTAAGTGCATTATTGACTCAGGGCCAGAGAGCTAAGTGCCATACGGAGAAGCCACGGTTGCCTATATCATCGGGTAAGGATAGCTCCAAAAGATCCCTAATTTATTACAGCTGAAGTTTCTGCTGTGGATTAAATGTTACAAGAAATATGAAAAAAGATGAGACAGATACTGTTTTAGTTACACCTGCACACATTTGCCCAGTTGATTTCAGTGGAAGGTTTGCCGTTGCCTGAGGTACAAATTTGTGTCACCAAATTATGTTTAAAAACTGCAGGACTGTTACACACCAGCTTTATACAGTTGTTTTCCTAAGGGAGAAACAACAACAGAAAAACAGGCTTTAAACTAGTAAACTTTCAATCATGTGGGTTGTTCGTAATTAACTGTGTAACTTCGTAGTTTTCATTTGAACTCCTGACTAAATGAGGTTTGATCCTCTTAACGTGGGTGCAGCCACTGAACAAAATGTGAGGTAAGGAGCCTCCAGTTAAGTTCTTTGGTTGTAAGTAGAGCAGAATATTACGCAGAGTAAGCAAGAAGGAGACCATCAAAATATTTTCTCATCTTTAGGTTTTTAATTCTGTCCTCTCTCTCTTCTTCTCTCTCAATTTCACTTTCATCATTCAGGGTAAAAATCATGATTCGTACTTTTTAAGATCTGATCTCTCCTTCTCTCTCTTTTTCTCTCTTTTCTCTTTCTTTTTTTTCTCTCTCTCTCCCTCAGAACTAAAGTTCCCTGGGATGTTTCATGTACACAGACTCTCAAGCTAGACAGTTTCAATTTCTAAGACTTCACTGATGTGAGATTTCTCTGGAAACAAAGTTGCCCTCCTTTTAATCTTTGCTTACCCACGACCTTAATGAAACGTGGGAAAGCCCAGTTTATAACCAGAACTTGATATTTTTAACAGCTTTTTCTGAAACTTCTGCTGTAGAATTGTGCACATGACATGCAAATGGTTTTTAAAGGTTATATATATGTGGAAAAGATATGGAGGGAGAGAGATCTTGCAGCTGCATTAAAATGTATTTTCTTCATTTAGGTGCATAAGAATATTTTAGTCATAGTTACTTTTTGTAAAGCCTTACTGTTTAAAAAGGAGTTGTATGGAGTCTTTTTAAATATGCAATAGTTACATTTCACGGCATACTCGTTTTGTATTACTAATTCTTTTGTTATTGTTTTAGTGGGAAGAAATTAGCGGACTGGATGAAAACTACACTCCTATACGAACATACCAGGTATGCCAGGTCATGGAACCTAACCAAAACAACTGGCTTCGGACTAACTGGATTGCAAAAAGCAATGCACAAAGGATTTTTGTAGAACTGAAATTCACTCTGAGGGATTGTAACAGTCTTCCTGGAGTTCTGGGGACTTGTAAAGAAACTTTTAACTTGTATTATTATGAAACAGACTACGACACTGGCAGGAATATCCGAGAAAACCAATATGTAAAAATAGACACTATTGCAGCAGATGAAAGTTTTACCCAGGGTGATCTTGGGGAAAGAAAAATGAAACTTAATACAGAGGTGAGAGAAATTGGACCTTTGTCCAAAAAAGGATTCTATCTTGCATTTCAGGATGTAGGGGCCTGCATTGCTTTGGTCTCTGTCAAAGTCTACTACAAGAAGTGCTGGTCCATCATTGAGAACTTAGCTATTTTTCCTGATACAGTGACTGGCTCAGAGTTTTCCTCTTTAGTTGAAGTACGAGGAACTTGCGTCAGCAGTGCAGAGGAGGAGGCTGAGAACTCTCCGAAGATGCACTGCAGTGCCGAGGGAGAATGGTTAGTGCCTATTGGAAAGTGTATCTGCAAGGCAGGATACCAGCAGAAAGGAGACACATGTGAACGTAAGTAAGCACGCATCTTGTTGTAGCATCCACAATATAGCTTATGTTACATTGTCCTCCTCCCCTTCCCTCCACCAGCCATATATACCATCAGTCTGCTTTTAGACCCTCAAGTCTGTAAACTTCACACTGGCTAATCTAAAGCGGTCAGCTTTTCTGGACATAGAAATCAGCAGTTGCTTACTGCATATTTGAATTTAAAGAAGAAAAAAATAGAGCAAAGGTTGTATGAAGTATAAACAGATTCAGGACTAACATTGTAAACAAATTAAGGTGATGTTCTTCATACTTCTTGGGATAATGCTGAGTAAATAATACCTGTCATGGAACATAGTACTAATATTCTCTGATATGAGTATTTAAACAATTTGTTCTTTCGTATGGCCTGTGATAGAATTATAAGGAAACTAAAACTGAGGAGATAAACTTAGAATGAGGGGTGATTTCTTTCTAGTGGTGAGAGTATACATACAGTAAAAACTGAGTTAGAATTTTGTCATAAGTATATACGGATTCAGACCCAAGAACTTCATTTTCGATCTTTCAGACAGACTGTCAAGTTACCAAAGCAAGGTATGTTTTTCTTTCTACAGTATCTTTCTATATAAAATTAACACTAAACTTTTGGCTTGCCAGGGGATTGCAGTGCTTCGTTTTAAATACGAGCAAACTAGAGACTATTGAGCTGTACTTTTGAATTCAGACTGATTCACTTACCCATAGTCTTAGAATAATACTTACCCTTAGCACTACTGTCACTAGGGCTGTGTGTGTAAGAATGTATTGCTTAGCATGAGAAAGGATATTACGGTACAGACTTTGCTTATGGTAAAATCAAGAGAATAGGCGGTTTGCTCAGAATTATAATAATTTAATATAAACTATATCTCATCATATTTTTAGCATAAGACAGAGACATTTATTTTTGATAAGAAATGTTGTGTGAAAGTCAGAAAACTTGGAAAAAAGCCCCACAAATTTGTGAAGAGGAGAAACCTACAGAATCTCAAAACCGAATCTGACAGCAGTCACTGAGTTTGAGATGGCCGTGCGAGGACTTCAGAATTTGTACAGGATTGGGGTCACTCTAAAAGGAAGAAAACAATTGTGTCCCGTTATGAATAATATGTCCTTAGGGGGAAAAATAAAACAAAATAAAAATCCCTGAACGTATTCCTGATGGGTTTGTACTAGGAAATTTGGTATAAGGTGAAGTGAGTGGAGGTGATGTGAGCACTTTGCAGCCTTGCACAAATCTTTCATTGTCGTGTTGGGAAGAGATGAAGGCTTATACACTGTGGAAGGTGATCTCATTAGAAATAATCCTAATGCAAAAAACTGCCAGCACGAAGCAGTTCAGTAGACTGTATTAAGGCTCTGTTAAAAATATTAAGGTTTGTATCCCCACTGAAGGCTGTTTTGACATTTTCAACTGTTTTCTTGAGTAGTTGACTTTTTTTTTCCTTTTCTTAGTTAACTTGCTCTGGATTACAAAGCTAGACATGATTTATATAATTGTAACACTAATTTTATTTGACTTTCAATAGAAGAGAGAAAGTCTCCGAAAAGAAAGCTGTGTACTTTGGAATGTGTTGGGGGACAGAAGGTGGGTGGTGAGGGTGGGGTGGAACAGAAGAAATTGGTGTTTCAGAACTGGAATTCAAGTAAATTGTTTATTAAACAGGCTTCTTAATTTCTAACCACACTGATGTTGACAAAAGAATTAAATGATAACTTGTACTTGAGTATAGCAGTGTGTTCATTTGCAAGAACACTTCCCATTTTTGGCTTTCTTCCAAAGCAATCGCTAAGCAAATACGCTATTCTGGAAACAGTCCAGAGGATCATTTATGGTATTTTTCCTCTTTTCTTTCAGTGATCGTGTTAAGAGTTTGAAAACAAACTCTGGCCCCATAGTGAGGCAAGTTAATGTACTTAAGAGAGAAAAGGTGGGAGGCTGCCACTCACTGTGTACATGCTGTTAGCAGCTTGGACCCAGAGTGGGCTGGGTGACTCGGTGGCTCACAATAGTAATTGCGGTCTGTGATACTTGTTAGCCTTGTCTGCACTTGGGGATGTTATTAAGTATGATCAACTATGTAGTAACCGATAATACAGCTGGCACACTGATACAGCGTCTGTTTTTTGTGACAGATACTGAGAGAAACTTATCTGAACATTGACACTAATGCAACTGGCTATCTGTTACTGTCAAGCTGTGTAACAGATCAAGCAGAAGCAAGCTGGTATGTGCTTCCTTAACCCAGAGCTTTTATAGCCCTGTTGAAGGGCTCTCTTCTGCAAATACTTTGTACCTGGCATGCTGTGTGACTTCTTTGGGTCTACTTGTGGTAGAAAGCATTGTGATCTGTCAGGACAGGCAAAAGTCTGTGATTCCTCTCTCACACTTGCTAAAGCTCAGCTGAATCAACTTAACACAATAGGAAAGTCTTTTAAAGATTCAGCATAATAACTTATCTGGCTGCGTTGTAGCAAAGGTAGGAGACCAAGTAGATGGTCACATTGTAATTCAAAATAGCTTTTCAACCTGTAACACAGTGGGGATTTTCATTTGTATTAAGCTAGCTTGATTGGCTTACTGTGAGTGAAGAATGTGTTCCTTTTGCATACAACTTCTCTCCTGTATGTGAAATTTATCAAGTTCAGATACTAAAACAATTGAATTTTGATTTATACACAATTCCATACTGGATGTGTTGCTAGAAGATATTTTTAATCATATGAATATAAGTAATTGGTAATGCCAGGGGAAGGTAAGGAAGAAAACAATAATGAATGGGGAAACAGATAATTCGGAAACTGAGCTTTCCAGTGTTCCTTCTTCAATGCTGATCTTCCAGGCTGATTTTTTTCTTCCCCCAAAATGTCCACTGATTACTTCTCGCTATAGTTGTGCCAAGAAATCTGTCTCACTCCAGTGATCTACTATGATAACGCACACATAAACAGTAGCACCTAAATCCAAAGAGTCCACAGTCTTAATTTAAGGCAATATTTTACAGCTGAGTGAAAGAAGCGTGAGAAAACTAGTCTGAACTTTGTCTTACTGTTCTTATTCTGCTGCTTATGTGCCAGGACATTGTTTTCTCTGTATTGGTCATATGTCTGGCAGTGTGTGGTGCACAAAAACAGGCTTGGCTCAGGACTGCAGGTTTTATATTTTAAAGGATAGTTCTGAAAGGTACATAGCAAATATTCAGCCCTCCCAACACCAGATACTGCATATGTTCCTTAAAAACAAAACCAAAACAGCTCTCCCCTACTTTCCACCAAAAAAAAAACCCCTAAAACCAAAAATTTGCTTACTAACTGTAGTGAACTCTTGATGGCCTCCTAACTTAGAAGACTTTTCATAGTGGAATCTGGTCGATACTTTGCCTATATAAGAATGATATTGAGATCAGTGTTTGGGATTTGAAGGAGAAAATGATTCTCTGAGAACTTGCAGTGTAAAGTATTTTCCATCTGTTTCATGTTAGTTGGGAGTGGAAAGGGAGAGAACTGTACTCAATCCGAGCAGTAGAGTGATATTTCAGAAGGTAGGAAGCCTCCTTCTGTATGACTGAGCTGAGAAATTACATAGATGATTTGGCACTAAGTCCAAAAAATTCAGAATTCTAGGGAAAGCCAAATGGGTACATTTTACTGTTAAATGTTTTATGATACCATATGCATTAGCAGTTGTTTTATTGCCTCCCAAAATGGGTAGGGGATTATAGCTATTTGTACGTTGTGTCTTGGTGAGGTAGAAAGGGAGCTACAGGCTTTTCTTTCCAAACTTTTTCATGTGCTATATGCTGTGCCAGACTGCAAGCTGCATCTGTTCCTGCTCTTTTTTTTTTGGGGGGGTGGGTGGAGGAGGAGGAAGTTTTGTCTCTTGACTTGCTGAAATATTACTTCACAGCAGATTCAGAAACAGGAACTGCATTGTATCTACCACAAGTTATTAGTAGAAGGCAATGAATTGAGAAGGAAATGCGAGTAAGTTCCTAACAATTTCTTTTAAAAAAATGTTACTGTGCTTCTAAAAAGCTCAGCTTGCATGAATTGTGAATTGGTATAGAGCCTGATCCAGGTAATGTGTCCCAAAAGCTGTAGGTGACTTGCAGCTTGAGTAACCTGTGTTGACACTCTTGCTCTTTCAATCTGAAAATATTCTGCTCTATGGAGAAGGGGCAAAATGGAAGAAAACTTCCTCAACAGCATTTCTATAATTAAGACTCTAAACGGCTTTCTTTTTTGAAGAAAAGTTCCCTCTCTCACATTTGCCTCTTACACTACTCCTGGGAGGAGAATGTAATTATTCTCAGCAAAGTGACCCAGAGCAGAGGAAAGGGATATTCCTGACAGTTTTGTCATTTTCTCTGAAGCCAGTGGAAGTTCAACATGAGAGCATTCCTTTATTTTTCCCCTAAGCTATTAAGTAATTTTTCTGTCCCTTTCTAAACAAATGGCAATATAATCTGGTTCCAGATCCAGCTGCAGATGAAGTATTGAATTGAAAAATCACAACGTAAGTATCTTTGCAAAGGGTCCCAGCAGGATTCAGAAAAATATACCAGATAATTATTAGGTGAAAGACCTTCCAGTGAGAGGGTGAAGAGTGCTGAAGGTGTTCGTGCTACGAAATGCAGAGCTTTGATCTCCTGCCATCCTTTCCTGGGAAAGGAATTAGTTTCCATGAGTCTTATTGCTTGAGGATGCTATTTATTGAATTGATGTAAGTCTGTTCTGGTGCTTACTTCCAGTCCCTTTGTAGTTACTATAAAGTTAAGTGCCTTGGCTTTCTTTCACCCTGAAATCTTCTAGCTGTTTTCTGGTCAGGGTACTATGGTAGAAAGATTTTTTTTTTTTCTTGATCTTTCTTTCAGAACAATCTAGTGTCTGTAAAGAGGATGATTTTCACAAATCTGGGTCAATTAGGTTTCTTAGACCTACTTTGCTCAAGTCCTTTAGCCTTTTGGATGTGGCAGTTAGGTCTTCTACCCTTCTTTGCGCTATATCTACCGCTAAATACATGCTCTTTAAAGAGTGGTCTCCAAGTAAGTTAGACAAAACGGTCTGCATTCTCTCAGTGTGACGTGAAGGTATGTGAGATGTTAGATGATGTTGAGTTGAAGTAATGAAGAACCACTTTGGAGGCTGTCAAAACCGGGTATTTTTCACTCATAGTGCTGATCAGAGGATCCCTAAATTGAATTAACTGCAGAGCCACTGACTGGTTTTATTTCCAATGAACTAGTTTTTTACTCCAGAAGAGTTGGCCGATGGGAAGCAGCACATGCAGATGGGCCATCAGGAGCCTGGATCCTAGAAGCTGAGTTGTTAGATAATGTTAGATGCACACAGAACTTTTTTCTTCTGCATCCTTCTTTCGCCTTCTCTGTTCCACTTTCCAGATTCTGCTGTCTCCAGGAGTTAATTCTATTTTTGCCTCTTGTTAGAGCTTTGAGTTTTGCTGAGTATGAGTTTCTTAAACTGTTTGTTGCCGCCCCGCAGTAAATTTCTAAAATAAATAAACAGCAATGAAATCAACCAGAATCTTAATAATTCCTCCCTTAGTTACAGCGGAAGCACTAAAGCTGTCTTTTTTTACAGATCTGGGATGCCACTGCTGAATTAGCTATGGTTGCTCAACAGCTGGGTTGTTAACTCCTCAGCCATAAAGTCTAGATTTTCTATTTGTTTTAAATGAGCTTTAGTTTGTATTTAGAACCAGAATCTCTTACTATCACGTCTGTCACCTAAAACAATGCCTCTAGCTTTTGGAGCACACTTTTATACCTGGAAATCTTTTCTGAAAGGTGCAACAGGGATGTAATGTTTTTGTTACTGTATTCCAAATATAAATGATTTTCTTAGATGCAAAAGCAACTAGCTTGCTTGGAAAGTCCCTCTTTTTGTTCAGGGTTTCTGTTAATTTCTGAGAATTAAGCCATTAAAAAGTAAGTTAAATATTCTTTCATTTCTGGGTCTAAATGACACATGTAATCCTTGTTAGGGGAATCTCAAGTGTACATGCCTTCAGTTAAATATGAGTGTTAATTTTTTAACCAAAAAAGAGCAAGGTTCTTGGAGTGAAAAAAGGAGACTAAGCAGGATCCAGAAAAGGTGAAGCAAAGATCTTTTAAAAAAAGAACTGATTAGAGAAAAGTGGGAGCATATAAACAAATATTTCACTAATCTGCTTTATGTATCAGAATGATGTCTTTTATGTGGATGGTAAAATGCTATCAAAGTTACTCAAGCAAATTATTTGTGCAGTTCAAAGTAGAAATTGTTCCCTGAGAACAAAGAGCCTTAAGCAAAAGAGAAGTGGAGGTTCTTATCGGAAAAGTGGGACAAACGTAGAGAAATACATATTTGCTACTGAAGTTGACAGAAAAGAAAATTATGTGAGCAAAATATTTGCTTCATCACATTAGCTTTTGAATGTTATTGGACCCCGAACTTCCTCTGCTCTCATGAAAATGCTTGTTTTTCCTACTGTATCAGTTTATTCATATTAAACAGTGCTAGAGTTTTAAGAATGTCAGTCTCTTCTTACTTGGGAAACTGTTGAGGTTGTATTTTCTTTTCTCTTTATGTGGGTTTTCAGCTAGTAACATGCTTATTACCACTTAAACTACAATGTAAAAAAAAAATTGTTACTTCCTGACTTCTCTGCACTAAATCTCCGCATTTTCTCTGTACTATACAAGCTCTGTCTGAAATACTAATTTAGTTATTTAAAAACAATAAGTTGTACACAGCTTTTGATAAACATTTTTTAAATTGAAAACAGGTAAAACATTTTTGAAATTATATCTGCGAAAGATAAAATTAAACATTTTAAGTAGACTTAATTACGGAGTTTTCTGAATTGCACATACTGGTTTACCTTTTTGTTATATTCTTCTAGAGATACTGCAACCACAACTTTTCTAATAAAAACTTAAGACTGGAACTGAGTTAAACATAAAACAATTTGCAATGGGTTTCCTTAAAAGAAAAGGGAGGGATTATTAAAAGCCAAACATGATTTACGTGACAGCAAAAAATATGTAAATGTTTTCTACTCTAAGCTTTTGCAGAATGTTGTGGTATCAAGCAGTAAAAAAAGATCTGGTTTATTCTTTAATCCAGTATTCCCTGTCTTTAATTTCATGAAAACTAACCTCTGTTTACAAGATATTGAAATATCCATTTTCTTCTGTAACTTTGTGTGACTGAGAAAATGGCAGCAATAGCAAATATGTTCGAGACATTTATATGAACTGTCTGGTCCCTGCTTAGAAGCTTTTATTCCTTCACACTTTGTATCCTTTCATTTGCTGGTATCTGTCACCAAGAGTTCTTTTGTCGTTAATACTAATGAAAAATGTATGTCACTCTTGTGTGTGAAAGTGAATAGTATTCCAGTTTGTAGTTCAGAGCACAGTGTTTCTGTGGGAAATTATCTTTTAAATTTACATACATTTTAGGTAATTTGGCTTAATTTTAACCTAATTTATGATTATAATTGAGAGTAACAAAGACAAACAAGTAAAAGCTTGTTGGAGATAAGAACTGGGCTCAGTTAATATACTTCCTAAAGTCCTGAACCTGTCAATTCATGCACCTGCACAGCTTTATTTAACTGTGTGGCACTGCTGCCTGTTCTAAGGAAGTAGTTGCTCATGTCGGTAAGAAGCATTTATTTTATAAATCTGAAGTAAATTGATACTTTAACTTAATTTTTATGATTTATATTAGTTTCGTGTGACTCTTTAGCACAATACAGCTCTCTTGCAATAACAATATCAATAATTTTTCTAATTAAAGTCTAATTAGCTGTAATTATTAGTATTTTCTGACACCTGACGTTCGTCAATCCCACGCATTTGAGGTAAAGACAGTACTCGATTAAGAAAGTAATGATTGCTATTATTTTATGATGTATTAATATCCATAAATGTAGAATACAGCAGAGGTTGTTTCCTGCTGTAATTGTGAAATAATCACTGGGTTGCTGTCTGGCAACTGGTCTTGAACAAAAATATTTCTAATAGTGTGTCTTACTGTAAACATGGTGTAGCAAGCGTACCCCTAAAATAGGCCTCCTCCTTTTCAGAAAACAAGTTTATGACTATTTTAAGTAAGTAATGCCTAACATGGAAACTATCTGTAGGACTGTAGTCTGAGACTTCATCCCTAGGACTGAATACTGCCTGATACTTCAGTGAGAGTAACGTTGTGGGTTAATATTTTCCTAGTGAGGATAGTGATGAAATTTTAAGTAACTGTAAGCATATGTATAAACCTAAAGCTTTTAAGCTGGTGAGACATGTATTTAAATGCATTTTTGATTGCATGTGCTTTTCTGACTTGTAGGTGTCGCGTTACTATGAGTGCACACAGGGAATCGAATATATACAAAGCTCAATTCCACCGATGGTGCTTGAGATAAACAATCTCTAGCATAATTAATGGCTATAATATGTTATACAGGAATGTGAACTATTTCCTAGTCTAGATGTCTGGTGCTGATTTTCCTATAATTTGGAACACACAGGCCTATGGTGGCCCTTGAAAGTGATACTCCAATATCTTCTCATGGCAGGTGGCTAGTATGTTGTCATGTCGTATGCAGATGATCAACTGCATGTCCCCTTCACCTTACTCAATACATCCTGCAGATACGCTCCTTCATTAAGTGTATTTTTCTGAAAGGGCCATGTGTATATTCTCCTTCTAGCCTTATGACCTAAGCACATATGCATGTTTCTTTGTAGAGTAAGTGGTCTAACTCCCTGTGTAGGGAATTCTGCCAGCCTGTCCCTTTCCTACCCACTTCTTTTGAACCATCAAGGAAAAACTCATTTTCTGGAGGCTTGATTAATGACCTGATCCACTTCATCTGAAAAATTGGTATTGCTTGTTGCTTGCAACCCTCCAAACACCTTTATTTCTCAGCTTATTAGCCAGTCTCCATTTGTGAGTAGCAAACATAGTATTATTTGAACTCCCTGAATGTACCATCTTTTTCTACACAGAAATATTGTTTGGGTAGAGCTTGGGAACAAATTATGCATCACCACATAGCTGTCTGTGGTACCTACTGAATCAATCCATCTGTGTCTGCAGAGGGACAAGGTTTATGCGGATAATCTCCTTAAATCCCAAATTTAAAATCTCAGAGCCCTTGCTTTGCTACCATGAATGTGCTTGGAGAATGTTGGCAACTGAGTTTCTACAAGTCAAGTTGGTTGTATTCCTAAAAGTGTGGCAGTTTATGTACTGAACAGCTCAGCCCTGTTGGTGCTTGAGTAGGTTATATATTCAAAAACTAGACGCTCTCCAGCTTGTCTGTGGAAAATGGCTTAAGCGGGCTACTTGTGGCTGTGATCACTGGTCATATTTACATGATTGCATTTAGTTCAATTTTTTTTCAAACTGAAGTTGATTATTTTTCTTTCTTAAGAGAATTTGAACTTGAATTTTTTGCTTTCAAAAAGGGCAGGCATACTAACCACCAGAGAGGCAGTGTTAGAAGGCATTAGCAACCCCTGCTGAAACTATTATTCTTTCTGCAAGAAAACTAAATACTATTATCTAGAATACAGCAGTGAGCTTGATGCATAGTGTAGTGCTTAGCACCATTCGTGTGGAAACATGGGTTCCAGGCTCTTCATTTATGAACTTTATTATATCCTTTTTGGAGGTGGATGGCACAACTGGAGAAAACACTCTACTGGTGGTTCATGCACTTATAAAGGTGGTCATATACCTCACAGCAAATGCATCCATATCAATTTTTCTTTTTGTATCAGGCCATATAGTTTAGTTTTAGGTCTCAAAATAAGAAACAATAGAATAGTAAGAAATGATCTAAAAAAAATCTGTTTTATGCAGTCCTTTCATCTTTAGGGTATGTATGTGTATGTGTTCATATGTATATTTTAAATTGTTGACTAGATATAATTTTAGAATGTGACTAGAATTCCAATGAAGGCAGGGTATTCTTATTTGATTTTTTTTTTTCTTTCCATGTATGTGCATGTATATATTGGATCAAGCCCATGATACAGTCTCTTAGCTGAAATCAAATGTTTGACCTTGGGTATTTGATCTCTCAAGTTTCAAAATGTCAATATATTTTTTTTCTTAATCAATTTATTTGTACAATAAATAAATTAGATAACTTGCCATTTTCATTTTTGTGTAACTATACTGGTTGAAAATTTTTGATCTGTACCACTACCTCTTCAGTAAACATTAATACTGATTATTTTCTTTCTTGAATATATTCTAATTGTAGCATTAAATAGCGTGCTTATTCTGCAAGAATAATAAGTTTATTCAGACAAATGGAAAACTTTAAAAGTGTCAGCAATTTTATTGACGCTAGCTAGAAGAAGAAATACAGAAAGACATCTACCCTCCCCCCAATATCTAAGGTAAATGGACATTGTTCTAACTGTTAGCAAATCCCAAGGCTGAACGTTGTCACCTGATTATCTCGCCTATGGAATTCTTCACCAGATTTAATCTCCAGCCTGCTGCTGGGAAGTGTGAAAGTATCATGTGCTTAAAATCATAAGCAGAGTTGCAAATCATGTCCTATAGTGCTCAGTTATGAGTAGAATATTCCATCTGTGATCTGTAACTGTTTTTCTGTTCTGTTCACTTTTGCTTACTAGTTGCCTATCACTTAAATTTCTGATTAAAAGGTGCAATTCTTTGGCTTTGTAAAGTGTATGCTTCAGTTTGTCAATTGAAATAAATCTCTATTTGGCTTACTATTAAAAAGGTCTTGTCAGTGGAATTGCTAGTGAATAATGAGCCAAAATGAGGGAGAGAAATAATGTCTTTTTAAGACACCTTTCCCTCCCCCCACCCCCGCGTTTTTTTTTGGAGGAGACAATGACATACCTACTTCTAATCTTTATCTTAAAGATTTTGTGTCATATGTAGAGCTACATAGTGATTGTATTATGTATTATGCTTGTAAAAATTGCGTATTCAAGAATATGAGGTTCAAAATTGCATGACACAAGCAGAGACAAGCACTTCTTAGAAAATAAAACACATGATGATGATTCCAATGATGTGAATTCTTTTAAGTGGAGAATTTTTTTTTTCTTTTTGTTAATGTGAGGAGTAAATGAAAATATGATTGTACTTCCCACAGAACAAACCCCATATTTTGAATTCCACCCTTTAAAGAGATTTTATGTGTTTAAATGATGACAAGGGTATTCATTAACATTCAGAAGATAACTGCCTGTCACATGCTAGTCAAAGTGGAGTTGTGGAGAGTGATGACACTGATTGATGGACATGTTTTGAGACCATGCACAAACAGGCTACTCGGGTCATCTGAGCGCATAACAACACTGTAGATGAGCTCTACATGCTCAAAAATATCCTCCACTTCAGCTGTCCTTCCTTCCATGTATCCTAGATTCACTTAATGTGTAAGGTAAATCTTAGTTTTATAACCTTATTGTCAGCAATTAAGAAAAGTGTCTAGTTTGTTTTGGTTAATATGGGCAGTATGTATTCGTGCTCCTTCTAGCTGTGAATGGCTGATGTGCTTAGTTGTTCAGTTGAAATGATGTTTCCTTTTCTCATGTTGCTTTAAAATGTGCTCTATATACTTACCTAATGTGTATACACTTAATGCAACTTTTCCTTTAGCTTATATAATATTGAAATGCAGAGATAGAGAGACAGCTTTCTGTCTTGCAAATAATTCAGAAATGAGTTTTAGATATCTCTAGTCATACAAGTTGTCTCAGTTTGCCTCAGTCAGTAATGTATTTATCTTCAGAGAAATGACGATCCAGCCTGTAGCATCCTTCCCAGCAGGCGGGGCGTCCCCCCGTCTATGCAGTGCAGGGAAGGGAAAAGACAGTGAAATACCAGTTCCTGTCCTGAAACTGAGTGCACGAACCAAAGTGGTGCTAATGAGGAGACTGTGCAGCCATCGCCTTCACGTTCTCTTCCTAGCTCTGACATGTTTTTTGGTAAGGGGCATTTTGTGTTGCTGCCTCAAGACCAGTTTCTTAGGATTCCAGTTCTTCCTTCATGATCCTTCTTTTCGGGAAGGATAGAATATGCCCTTTTCGTGTCACATACAAATTACACATGCCCTATGCCCTGGGAGGAAGGTGGCTCAGCTCTTCTTTCTTATAGTGGGCACGTGCTCTTACACGAGTGGTAGTAATTAGCTAATGAAGCCTGCTGACATGGTGTAAAGTCATGCATCCCTTACAGAGGGATGATACTTTTCTGTATAGCTGGAGAGCCTGGCCCCCTTCAGCATAAGATGTGCTCACAAACAATTATTTCTCATTATACTTCTTAATTTTAGCATAGGTATGTACACATGCAAAATAATATCATGACCACAGCTATCACTGGAAATCGAAAATCATTTAATTCACACCTCCATACTACCTCATGGCAGAAAGGTAGTTTTGGTGGCTGATACTTCCAGTCACTTTGCAGACTGGACTACCAGCTTGGATTACATATTTCCCATTTTTGTCACTTCCCCCTGATTTGGCATTTCTACATGAAAATATATGTAAATATATGCAAACTTGTAAGCAACAAAGCATATAAAATTGATAAAGCTGATAAAATATAGGCAGATGATTTTTAGCATGCAAATATATTTAAGAGGATTGTATATCAATATTCATTACAGAACCCATTGTGCTGTTAAAAATACACTTACAAGTATATCCTGATTGACTTAGATTTGTTAACTGAAGTCAAAGCATTATTCATAAAGGTAATGGGAAAGAGGAATATCCTTGGATCTGAGCCCTTTTCCCATGATTATCATTGGGAGAAAAAAACTAACCAACCAAAAAGAAAACCCCTCCTGTACTGTATTGTGTTACACCGCTCTGCAGGTTAACAAATGGAGCGGTCTTGTCCTCTCTAAAATCCCCATAGCTATCGGGAGATGCTGGAGTTCCACCCAGTTTGGGTGGAGGTGCTGTACTGCAGGGGCTCCCTTGCTAATCTCAGTCCCTGACAGCGGTTTCTGAAGCGTATTGGGGAAATCTGGGGAAAACGGTCATAATTTTACATTTACCTGGCAGTTCTCTCCCTCCCTGTTCCTTCCAAGTGCATACAACTGCAGTTTCTTAAAGCTTTCTTCGGGGCTGATAAGACCTGCTGAAGAGGCTCCCTACTTTTGTCCAGTGGAAAAGGGGACTGCAAACATTTTTGTTGCAAAACTGTTTATTTTCCCTTGGGTAAAATCTTGCTTGCTTTATTCATAAAAATAATAATAATTCGTCCCTTGGGACAACTTGTACAAGTTAAAAAAAAAACCCAGGAACTGGCCCTGTATCGTAACCATCTGTTATTAACACAAAGAGCAAGGGCCCAGTCTTGCAGCCCTTATTAAAAGTGGTCCCTTTAAAAGCAGTCACTACAAATAAGAGATCTTTTCCCCCTCACTTCTGTGGCAATATTCCCTATCAATAGTTAAAAAAAAAAAGGGCTGAGCAGAGAGAGAGAGAAAAGAAAAACATCCTCATGAGTCTTGTACAATCGCAGTCACATTATTTTTACGTTGTGCTATGCTTTATGCAATAAACAGCTCATTTCAAGAAATATATCTATTGCAGTATTTTCAAAAATCATTTCAGCTACCTTCACACATACTTTTTCATAGTATATCTTTTGATTTTATGACTGAATGGTGATTGGGTTTTCTTTTCTACTGCTTTTATGACTGAGGTAAACATCCGTTTTGATCACAGGTAGTTTGAAAATGGTTCTTTTTTCCTCTCCCTGCAGTAGAGAATATTTTCCTTTTTACGCACACATGCACACATGCATGCAAAACAAAATAATGACCACAGCTATCACTGGAAAATGAAAATCATTTAATTCATACTTCCATACTACCTCATAACAGAAAAGTAGTTTTGGTGGCTGCTACTGCCAGTCATGTGTAGACTGGACTACCAGCTTAGATTACATTTTTCCCATTTTTTCACTTCCCCCTGATTTGGCATTTCTACACCAAAATATTGTTGGGAGGATTATTTCTCAATATTCATTGCAGAACCCATTCTGCTGTTAAAAATCAATTTCGGTGCCCCTTACCCATTTTTCTTTTTTTATCAGCTTTATGAACTTTTATATGCTTTGTTGTTTACATATTATCTTTAGCTCTAGAGCTGTGCCAGTCCCTAGTAGACCACATGAGGCATGGGTATTAATAAGAGTGTTTAATCCGTGCTCCTTTGCTTCTGGCTATGAATGTGTGTTGGGCATAGCAAGAGTTGTTATAATTCTGTTGATTGCACCCCAGCGGGAGAACAGTCCTCTGGCTGGCTATACTGCCTTTAAGGGTGTCTTTGCACAATCATTCTGGCACAGAGCGCGTGTAATGCAGTCCAGAATCTGGGAAAATATATAAATTATGATGGCAGGCTGAGTGTTTCCATGGTGTATGCAGAAAGACAGGAATTGCTATATTGGATCAAACAAGTGGCTCGTCAAATCTATTGCTCTTTTGCCAGTAATGGTCAGCAGCAGATGTTTTAAAAATAAAAGGGCATGAAAACTCCAGTTTTTGTTCAACTCCAAAACATTCTACACAGCTCTGTACTATTATTCTGTATCCTTTTTTTTCTAGTAATTTTGTCATTCAAATGTTAAAAGATCTCTGATTCTTTTCATCCTATCATCCTGATACTCTCATCCTATTAAGCGCATAATGTATTTTTGTGATTTCTATGAAGTTTGTGTCCTCGAATTTAAATATGCTAGAGATTGGACAAACTTTCACTTTATTTACAATTAAAATCTTAGTATTCATAAAATGACTGCTTTGAACTTGACGGAAAATCCTCCTGAGGATCTGACATGGAAGTATACACAGTAGAAACACTAAACTAATTTATATGTGTTTAGAGATTTTTTTTTTTTTCATGAAAAACCTAATGCATGTAATTTGTGAACTATGCCTGGGACAAATACCCTGGGATTTGACTATAGTAACATTACAGCAACTTCTCTTTCTGCATTTATAAGCACTTTGAGGAATTAAAGGGTTAAACCCTCCAGGCAAAACAGCATATCACTTTCCTTAAAATGCCATTGGGAAACTGAGATAAATGGTGAAGCATTTTCTGTGTTGACATGATGTTCGCCTGTCCGATTGCATCCTTCCCAACAGACAGCAGAGAAGCAATTACAAAAAAAGACATCTGTGCCAAGGCTTGGCTAGCCAGGGAGGGCAAGCTCTTGTGTTTAAGAGGTATAGAATCCAATCGATGAAAATGTCTGGACCTGTTAGCACCAATAAAGCTGAAGGCCACTGGGAAGCTCAGAGAGGGTCTTTTGTTGCGGAGATAGAAAAGAGGCCAAAACTGTGACACTTAGGGAGGAATAGGGTCAGCAAGTATCATCATCCATCTTCCTCAATGGCAGCTTTCTGTCAGTTTTTAACCCTGCTCAGCAGAGGAGCTAAACCTCTATTGTTGGCACCAGCCAATTCCCAGCCAAGTGTAAATGAAGTTAATATTCACTGACCTTATGCATAGCCAATGAAGGCCCTTGATGTCATCTTGGAAATAATGTTATCTGACACTTCAAAAAGCAGATGTTGGCAGGTTGTTTGTGGTTTTTTGCTGAGCCAGGACGCAAAAACGCATTGTTTAGCCACCTCACATTTAAACTGATTTCCATAATAACCACAAATAGGCCTCTTTGACCTTAAATTGACATAGTTATGGTTTTAGTTTGCATATCATTATACACAGCTCACAAAGCCTGACTAACCTGCACTAAATGATCTGGGAGAAGTAGCTCAGT